GGTAAACCAGAATGGAGAAGGCAGCAACGAGGGTGGATACGCAAGTCAGGAGACAGGAGCTCAGCAATGGAAAGGTAAGGGGGGGGGTGGGGTGTGGAGGCGGGCATACAAGCTACAGGCAGTATTATAAACTCGTCTCTCACAGTGTGCCGGGGCTGTTAAGGCCCGCAGGAAGGATGCATTGTGCACTGCCAACAACTTCAATTTTTCGCAATTTTTAAAAAGTTTGCCCATAATGCAGTCAGCAGCGAAACTCAAGGGTGTATAGAGCTTTAGGAAAAGGCTAGAGAATAGGGGTGACGGGGGTGGGGATGCCGGTGAATAGGGGAGGAGGGGGGGGGGGTGGTATCAGCAACACGGACCGGAGTATAAAAATGATGATTGCCGATTGAGTTAATCATGAGCTCCGTGATGATGAGTGAGAGTGTGAGTAATGAGTTTTGAGAGGAAAGTGGCTAGTGGTGATTAATCGCCTAGATGTAGTCATACTTGTCTGGGATAAACTTACGTTCTTGGGTCCCGGCTGTCAGTCGGGAACGTGGCCTTCACCAGTGTGAGAGACAAGTGGATGGAGGAGAGCACATGAGTGAGACGTGAGTGATATCTGCCGCCTCACTTGATCCCCCTCCCCCCCCCCCCTCCTACGCTCACTATCATATGATCACAAGTAAATAATATTATAAACAAGGCAAGCGAGGTCAAGGAATAAACAGCAAAAGATGAATTTCCGAGAACGACCATATGATAATGAGAGACCAGGAGTAGGAGTGACCCCTTGTGACGAGCCAGGAGTAGGAGTGACCCCTTGTGACGAGCCAGGAGTAGGAGTGACCCCTTGTGACGAGCCAGGAGTAGGAGTGACCCCTTGTGACGAGCCAGGAGTAGGAGTGACCCCTTGTGACGAGCCAGGAGTAGGAGTGACCCCTTGTGACGAGCCAGGAGTAGGAGTGACCCCTTGTGACGAGCCAGGAGTAGGGGTGACCCCTTGTGACGAGACAGGAGTAGGAGTGACCCCTTGTGACGAGCCAGGAGTAGGAGTGACCCCTTGTGACGAGCCAGGAGTAGGAGTGACCCCTTGCGACGAGCCAGGAGTAGGAGTGACCCCTTGTGACGAGCCAGGAGTAGGAGTGACCCCTTGTGACGAGCCAGGGTCTGGGAAACGCAGTGATATGGTAATTGGAGACTGTGAAAGACTTAGTTGCTAAGTGAGAGGCATCATAACAATGGTCGGACCCAATACGATAGACATTGTGATGTGATAATACTTCACAAACTGACAGACGGCGACAGACAGGAAATCACAAAGAACTTTTAATATCTTAATAAAACTTCGTTAGTTGCAAGCAGAAACGGATCTGAACTCTTAATTACAGGTGATTTCAACCACGGCCAGATAGACTAGGAATATAGACAGGCTGGTGTGGACACAGCTACATGGAGAGCTAACCTAATAAAAGCAACAATGAAAAACTTTCTAAGCCAATATATCAATGTACCATCTGACCCTCGGGGTGTTCTCCTCCAAGCTGAGGCTGACCACAAACAAATTTACAAATTTTATCGTCCTGTGAAAATAGGACTGTCGCTATGCCAAGGATAAGTGTGCTTAGGGGTTTATTGATTCTGTCGGGAGCTGTTTGTATTTTGGAGTACACGTGTGAAGGATTCCGAGAGATGTATATATATATATATATATATATATATATATATATATATATGTATATATATATATATATATATATATATATATATATATAAAGTCCATTTTCTTCATTATCTTCCCCCCTGATGCGGAGAAAATATGGAGCACGTGTAAAGTGTAAAGTGAGCCACAATATCGGTTGAGTTGTTGCCGTGTTGTGACAGAAACCACTTCACATTCATAACTCATTTCACGGAGAGAACCTCTTCACAGGATGGTGAGGAAAGACAACGAGGTCTTCACAGGATGGTGAGGAAAGACAACGAGGTCTTCACAGGATGGTGAGGAGAGACAACGAGGTCTTCACAGGATGGTGAGGAAAGACAACGAGGTCTTCACAGGATGGTGAGGAAAGACAACGAGGTCTTCACAGGATGGTGAGGAAAGACAACGAGGTCTTCACAGGATGGTGAGGAAAGACAACGAGGTCTTCACAGGATGGTGAGGAAAGACAACGAGGTCTTCACAGGATGGTGAGGAAAGACAACGAGGTCTTCACAGGATGGTGAGGAAAGACAACGAGGTCTTCACAGGATGGTGAGGAAAGACAACGAGGTCTTCACAGGATGGTGAGGAAAGACAACGAGGTCTTCACAGGATGGTGAGGAAAGACAACGAGGTCTTCACAGGATGGTGAGGAGAGACAACGAGGTCTTCACAGGATGGTGAGGAAAGACAACGAGGTCTTCACAGGATGGTGAGGAAAGACAACGAGGTCTTCACAGGATGGTGAGGAAAGACAACGAGGTCTTCACAGGATGGTGAGGAGAGACAACGAGGTCTTCACAGGATGGTGAGGAAAGACAACGAGGTCTTCACAGGATGGTGAGAGAAGGCTCAGTGAGGGCTCTATTCATAATAATTTCGGACAGAAAATCCCATGAACAGATCACATCTCTGGATGACCAAGTGGAGACAGCTTCCTCATACTCCTGTCACCGTGGAGACAGTTTCCTCATACTCCTGTCTCAGTGAAGACAGCTTCCTCATACTCCTCCCGTCTCCGTTGAGACAGCTTCCTCTTACTATTCCCTCTCTGTGGAGACAGCTTCCTCTTACTATTCCGTCTCCCTGCAGACAGCTTCCTCATACTCCACCCGATTCCGCTCAGACAGTTTCCTCATACTCCGCCCATCTCCATGGAGAAAGCTTCCTCCTACTCCTGGAGGAAGCTCCGTGAAGACAGCTTCCTCATACTCCTGTCTCCGTGGAGACAGCTTCCTCTTAATACACCGTCTCCATGGAGACAGCTTCCTCAAAATCCTGTCTCAGTGAAGACAGCTTCCTAATACTCCGCCCGTCTCCGTGGAGACAGCTTCTTCATACGACTACCGTCTGCATGGAGACAGCTTCCTCATACTCCTGTCTCATTGAAGACAGCTCCCTCATACTCCGCCTGTCTCCATGGAGACAGCTTCCTCATACTCCGCCCGTCTCCGAGAAAACAGCTTCCTCATACTACTCCAGTCTCCGTGGAGACAGCTTCCTCATAATCCTGTCTCCTTGAAGACAGCTTCCTCATTCTCCTGTCTCCGTGAAGACAGCTTTCTCATTCTCCTGTCTCCGTGAAGACAGCTTCCTCATTCTCCTGTCTCCGTGAAGACAGCTTCCTCATACTCCTTCTGTTTCCATGGAGGTAGCTTCCTCATACTCCTGTCTCAGTAAAGGCAGCTTCCTTATACTCCTGTTTTCGTGGAGACAGCTTCCTCATAGTCCTGTTTCAGTGAAGACAGCTTTCTCATGCTCCTCCCGTCTCCGTGGAGACAGCTTCCTCATATTCCTCCCATCTTCATGGAGACAGCTTCCTCATACTCCTGTCTCATTGAAGGCAGCTTCCCTATACTCCTCCTGTCTCCATGGAGACAGCTTCCTCATACTCCTCCCGTCTCCGTGGAGACAGCTTCCTTATACTCCTGTCTCCGTGGAGACAGCTTCCTCATACGCCTGTCTCCTTGAAGACAGCTTCCTCATGCTCCTCCCGTCTCCGAGGAAACAGCTTCCTCATACTCTTTTCTCCGTGAAGACATCTTCATCATACTCCTATCTCCGTGAAGACAGCTTCCTCATACTTCTCCCGTCTCCATGGAGACAGCTTCCTCATACTCCGCCCGTCTCCATGGAGGCAGCTTCCTCATTCTCCTGTTTCCGTGGAGACAGCTTCCTCATACTCCGCCCGTCTCCGTGGAGACAGCTTCCACAGCTTCCCCGTATGGTGTGGAGTGGATTGAGTGTTCGAATGATCAGGATGGCAGTTTCATGCGGCTTGTGTAGTTACTCTTGCGCCTAAAGGATAATAGACAGACTAAAATTGCTCCATCCTTTTAGCCCTTCGGTCTTTTTGTGCCACTGAGCCCATCCCTTCCGGTTTGTGTTTTATCGTTATGGAGACACGCCGAGGATTGTGTGCTGACCCAGTGGGTAAGGGAAGGTTGTGTTTACATGGTGTTAGTTATCTATTAGTTACAGTGCCAAAGATATTGTTAATTATTGAACTGTTAACTATTGATATGATTTTTGTTACAAATTCAACTAACAGTACACAGTATTACTACTGTTAGTACACTGCTTCTCCGACTGTTACTCCCACTGCTACACTTACTGTTTATACTGCTAATGTTGCGACACTTACAATTTCTGATACTAGTGGTACATCTACACTTTTTACTATCACTACTACTATTGACGTTGAACTTATACTCCTATTACTACTTCTACCACTACTGGTAATACTACTACTACTACCTAACACGACTACTGCTACTACTGCTACTTCGTATATCTTGTGAATGATGGGATAACGGCACCAATATCGTTATCAACAAAAGCAACGATAACGATACACAGGTAAGCGGTCTGTGTTTATATCGCGTTAGTGACTTCGTTATTACCACGCCCAAGTTAGTATTGACTATACACCCCCGCGTCACTAGTAAAGAAGGTATGTGTGTGTGTAGTGCTAACTGCAACAGCCAGGTGTGTCAAGCGTGAGTGATCGGCCCCGATTGAAAGTGATACATTCCTTTGGAAGCAAGACTAAAAGTCAAATTAATTCGAGGTCTATAAATATGGATTGGTTGAGGTGGCGTTGAAAAAAATAAAAAATCGAGCAATGTATGTCGAAATGTATGTGACAATTTTGTATGCATCGAATGGATGAAAGTGCGCACTCGTACGCACGCACAGACAGACAGAGAGACAGACAGACACCCACGCAGACGGGGTTTGGTGTGGCGGAGGCCCCGGCTGGGCGGAGCTTGAGGGGACAGGTTTATAAGGGATGCCGTAGGAGTCGGGTCGTCACTGTAGGTGGTGCCCGCGTCCAGCAACAACCGCGCGCACACACACACACTCTCTCTCTACCCTCCCTCACACACACACACACACACACACTCGCGCGCGCCGCGTGCTACCTACCTCCACCGAGGCCCAACGCACGCACACTCATTTCCTGTGTAGGGTTGGAGAGTGGCAGGCGCCTCCCAGCGAGTACCAGACGGAAGGAATCCCTCCCTCACCTCGCCCCTGACAAGTGAGTACAAGGCACCATACCCCTTACTCCACAACCACACTTTCCCCTGCTAGCACACACCCGCCACACACACCTGTCACGCCACACCTGTCATGTCACACGTCACGTCACACCTGTCATGTCACACGTTACGCCACACCTGTCATGTCACACCCGGAGACTTGAAGGTCCCATCACAGGGAACACACTTCTTTGTGTGCTCCGATAACTTTGGCGCCCTATTCGAAGTTGCTCGCCCAGCTGCAGGAAGGACACAGGGTACGAGGACCCAGGGTACGAAGACACAGGGTAGGAGGACCCAGGGCACGAGGACCCAGGGTACGAAGACACAGGGTACGAAGACACAGGGTACGAAGACACAGGGTACAAAGACACAGGGTATGAAGACACAGGGTACGAAGACACAGGGTACAAAGACACAGGGTATGAAGACACAGGGTATGAAGACACAGGGTACAAAGACACAGAGTACGAAGACACAGGGTACGAAGACACAGGGTACGAGAACACAGATCGCACCTGCCCTGTAGTGGGTGTTCATGTGCAGCACTGTGCCCACTCAGTCGTCCTCGCTGGGCCAGATGCCTCATATAACCTGACATAAGTGTACATCTGCTCGCAAGAAGGCGTGACAGAGCCACTAGAATGACGGGCTTATCAGTACTGTACAGCTCACATGACAACGTCAAGTCTTAATGTTAAATACTCAAGTTCTTCCCCAGACATTACAAACAAACTAAACTTGTGCGCCAAGAACTCCCAACAAGTTCCCTGTTCGTAACCTTAAGAAGCAGTAAACAATTCAAAGAATATATTACATTATTCTGAAGCGACGTCTATTGCTATGTTGTCCCTAGAGAAACTGTTAGTAAAAGTTGAGTTGGCGTGTCTCAGGGGTAGTGAAGTGTCTCAGGGGTGAGACCAAATGAGGACCTTAAACATAATACAGGGTACAAAACATAATCAAATGTGCCCCATAGTAGGAAAGCAACATGTAAAGGATTTGGGAATAATGATGTCTGACAACCTAACGTTTAGGGAGCATAACCAAGCAAATATTGCGTCAGACAGAAAAATGATCGGATGGAATACGAGAACTTTCAAATCCAGGGATCCCATCACAATGGTTGTACTATACAAATCACTTGTACTGTCCCGTCTTCAGTACTGCTCAGTACTCACTTCCCTCTTCAGAGCAGGAGAGACTGCTGAAATAGAGAGAACATATACGACATACATTGACGCAATAAAGCACCTAAATTATTGGGATCGTCTCAAAGCTCTCCAAATGTACTCACTAGAAAGGAGACGAGAGAGATATCATATAATATACAGGTGGAAATACTGGAGGGCCAGGGCCCAAATCTACACAGTAAAATAACAACATACTGGAGTAAACGATATGGAAGAAAATGCAGAATAGAACCAGTGAAGAGCAGAGGTGCCATAGGCACAATCAGAGAACACTGTATAAACATCAGAGGTCCGCGGTTATTCAACATCCTCCCAGCGTTTATAAACCCCACAGGGTTTATCCAGACTATAATAATTAACTAACTTTCATCCAGACAATACGCAAATTAAAGCACACATATTGATTGGTATTTTTAAAGTGTACAAGGGGAAACCATTTTAGTAAATACTTTGATAAATAAGGGTAGAGATACGAATATTTTTGTTTATCCTGGCTAATAGGAATATCAGCCTGCCTAGAGGAGGAACCCAAGAGCTGGAGGCCATTGCTAACTGATAGGAATAAATGAGATTAATAGTTACGTACATTTATGTATGGGCTCCCTCTCACTACACTCTCCTCGCTTCCTGGGTCCTGGCTGTGTATACTAGGTGTATGTATCTCTGTATATGAGGGGGGGGGTGAATCCCTGTATATGAGGGGGGTGTATCCCTGAATATGAGGGTGTGTGTGTATCCCTGTATATGAGGGGGGTGTATCCCTGTATATGAGGGTGGTGTATCCCTGTATATGACGGTGTGTGTGTATCCCTGTATATGAGGGGGGTGTATCCCTGTATATGAGGGGGGTGTATCCCTGTATATGAGGGGGTGTATCCCTGTATATGAGGGGGTGTGTATCCCTGTATATGAGGGTGTGTGTATCCCTGTATATGAGGGGGGGGTGTATCCCTGTATATGAGGGGGTGTGTATCCCTGTATATGAGGGGGGTGTATCCCTGTATATGAGGGGGGTGTATCCCTGTATATGAGGGGGTGTATCCCTGTATATGAGGGGGTATGTATCCCTGTATATGAGGGTGTGTGTATCCCTGTATATGAGGGGGGGGGTGTATCCCTGTATATGCGGGGGTGTGTATCCCTGTATATGAGGGGGTGTGTATCCCTGTATATGAGGGGTGTGTATCCCTGTATATGAGGGGGTGTGTATCCCTGTATATGAGGGGGTGTGTATCCCTGTATATGAGGGGGTGTGTATCCCTGTATATGAGGGGGGTGTATCCCTGTATATGAGGGGGTGTGTATCCCTGTATATGAGGGGGTGTGTATCCCTGTATATGAGGGGGTGTGTATCCCTGTATATGAGGGGGTGTGTATCCCTGTATATGAGAACATCATCATTCTAGCTCGTATATTTTTGGTTGATCAAGCTATGACTTGTATATACTTTTCCTCAGTCTGTTGAGAATGTTGAAAGGTTCGACACAACACATTTCTTAGTACCAGGTCATATATACTAGGTACCAGGTAAATATATATTTGTGTATATATATAAATTGTGAGGACACCACCTCTGGTGCAATTGTAGGGACCCATAGTCTCGGAGAAAACCAGGACTACCCCATACCTGTGGGACCCACTAGCACCATACCTGTGGTACCCACCAGCATCATACCTGTGGTACCCACCAGCACCATACCTGTGGTACCCACCAGCACCATACCTGTGGTACCCACCAGCACCATACCTGTGGTACCCACCAGCACCATACCTGTGGTACCCACCAGCACCATACCTGTGGTACCCACCAGCACCATACCTGTGGTACCCACCAGCACCATACCTGTGGTACCCACCAGCACCATACCTGTGGTACCCACCAGCACCATACCTGTGGTACCCACCAGCACCATACCTGTGGTACCCACTAGCACCATACCTGTGGTACCCACCAGCACCATACCTGTGGTACCCACCAGCACCATACCTGTGGTACCCACCAGCACCATACCTGTGGTACCCACTAGCACCATACCTGTGGTACCCACCAGCACCATTGGGTGTTACATACCAAGCATAGTGAGGAAGTACATGTAATGGCGCCATTAGCGAGGGTGACCACACGCTCCGCTTCGCCCCGTTACTTTCTCACGCTTTTAAGGACAATTTGTGTTAGTCGTTTGTTTTGTGTTTATATTACCTGAACGTTGGTGAGTGCGTGACCCGCGGCAATTGTTGCAACGAATATTGGCACGCACACGCGTGCACCAGTAACTGTTGGAGCGCACACACACACGCACGCGCGCACACACACGCACGCACACATACTCATATTCTCACATTCACACACACACACACACACACACACACACACACACACACACACACACACACACACACACACACACACACACACACACACACACACACACACACACACACAAACAAATGGGCAAAGTTACCTTCACCCTTAATGCCCCTGTTACCTAGCAGTAAATAGGTACCTGGGAGTTAGTCAGCTGTCACGGGCTGCTTCCTGGTGTGTGTGTGTGTGTGGTGTGGGGAAAAAAGTAGTTAGTAAACAGTTCATTGACAGTTGAGAGGCAGGCCGAAAGAGCAAAGCTCAACCCGCGCAAACACAACTAGGTGAATACAACTAGGTGAATATACACACACACACACACCTGGAGTGTATGTGCATGAGAGTCACCAGTGGAGTCCCACAGGGCTCTGTACTCGGACCTATCCTGTTTCTGATATACGTAAATGATCTCCCGGAGGGTATAGACTCATTCTTCTCAATGTTTGCTGACGACGCCAAAATTATGAGAAGGATTAAGACAGAAGAGAACAGCTTGAGGCTTCAAGAAGACCTGGACAAGCTGCAGGAATGGTCGAACAAATGGTTGTTAGAGTTTAAACCCAAGCAAATGTAATGTAATGAAGATAGGGGTAGGAAGCAGGAGAACAGATACAAGGTATTATTTGGCAGACGAAATACTTCAGGAGTCAGAGAGAGAGAAAGACCTGGGGGTTGATATCACGCCAGACCTATCCCCTGAAGCCCATATCAAGAGGATAACATCAGCGGCATATGCCAGGTTGGCTAACATAAGAACGGCCTTTAGAAACTTGTGTAAGGAATCTTTCAGAACATTATATTCTACATATGTCAGACAAATCCTGGAGTATGCGGCTCCAGCATGGAGTCCATATCTAGTCAAGCATACGACTAAATTGGAAAAGGTTCAAAGGTTTGCCACCAGACTAGTACCCGAGCTGAGAGGTATGAGCTACGAGGAGAGACTACGGGAATTAAACCTCACTTCCTTGGAAGACAGAAGAGTTAGTGGGGGGGGGGACATGATCACCACATTCAAGATTCTCAAGGGAATCGACAGGGTAGATAAAGACAGGTTATTTAACACAAGGGGCACACGCACTAGGGGACACAGGTGGAAACTGAGTGCCCAAATGAGCCACAGAGATATTAGAAAGAACTTTTTTAGTGTCAGAGTGGTTGACAAATGGAATGCATTAGGCAGTGATGTGGCTGACTCCATGCACAGTTTCAAGTGTAGATATGATAGAGCCCAATAGGCTCAGGAACCTGTACACCTGTTGATTGACAGTTGAGAGGCGAGACCAAAGAGCCAGAGCTCAACCCCCGCAAGCACAATTAGGTGAGTACAATTAGGTGAGTACACAGACAAAGTGTGTGACAAATATTAAGCAAGAAAGAGAGGGCTGGGTGGACTGCATTTTCTTGGATTGTCGGAAAGCCATTGACACAGTACCGCATAAGA